AAAATGAGCATGGGGAAGGCCACGCTTTTGAAACTCAATTGCCAGCACAACTGCAAACAAATACACTATGTATTAAGTTGGAGCCTGCCAAAACCTTATTAGGTAAAGGACAACCTGACTAAAATAATTCAACCATATGAAACAAAAGTATTGCTCAAAACTAAAATAACAATTATGGAGCATGTACGACTTACATCCAGTGGTAGTCCCAAATATTTTCTTATCTCTTATCTCAAACATTAATTGCTGCAGTTTAAGCTTGAAGACCCGAGCAATAATATCAGATCTATTGACATCTTTCCGACCATCTGCGGTTACCAAATCAACCATAAACTGGATTTCCGGCCAATTTGCATTACAGGTGAAGGTAATAAATAAATCTGGGTAGCCCAACCACCTACAAATAGCCATAGCATCCTGGAAGTTTTCATACTTGTACCGTGGACTTCCTGTGTGGGAAGCAGCCAAAATAACATGTTTTCCAGTCATTTCTAAATCAGAATCACCACGGAGGAATGCATCCACTAACCCACTCAGATAATGGGAACGAAGTTTGGCTTGGTTATTTCGGATCCAATCAAGCCGCTGTGCCTCTACTAATGCATACGCATTCACAACATACTGCTGAAATAATTTCCCAGATAATAAAACCGAATTTGACTCCTGAAATCTACTCTGTAGGCGGTATGCATAATAATCACACTGGGACAGTGTCTTGTCATTCCAAAGATTATCATCATCATCATCATCACAGCTTATGTCCGGATGCCATCCATCCTCTCCATAAGGAAATAAAATTGGGTATTGTAAAGTCATTAATGATGGATGATAATAATTAATTCTCTCCAATTCAGAACTCTTATACTGAACAATAATATCTGGCTCAAATGTATCTTGCCCTGTTTCATCAACAATCAAGGCTGCTATGTCATTCCCCGTCGGTAAATCATATTCTCTCCCATCATGAGCACGCTTGGCAATTAATTTGATCTTCACCTCTTTCACATTGCCTTCCTGTATCTTTTGCCTAGCCATCCGAAAGGTTTGAACCAGAACATTGTTTCTATCAAACATTTCTTGCAATCGTTCAACAATATCTGATCGCAATGAACTGGAGGCATCATCAACTGGAAATAGATGCAAACGACTCTCTAGTTCAGAACTTGAGTCATGAATGTATAATTGGGCAAACCTCGGTGGCTGACCGTCTGGGGGTAATAAGCTGCCTATAGAGTGATAAATTTGTCCTCCTATAGAGTACACATACACCCCTCGACCATCATTTATACCACGATCCACTTTCCCGCCCAGGGAGATAAAGCAAAACACAGCATTGTATCTACGAATGGCTTCCCGGAAATGACGGCTCATGGGTGTAGAAGAATGTAACAATTCATTCAAAAACTCTGGTGGAGCACGTCTAGGGGTAGTTTTACCTTTCCAGCCTTGCAACACAATGAGAAAGTGGGGTTAACACGACTCCTAGTAGGAACCGTACTTTCTTGCACCCACATAATTGCTGCACAGTATTGACAAATGCTTGTAGGCTCGCCCAGACTAAAAAGTTCCACAACAGGATATCCTACAATCAAAGTAGTCACATAAGATAACTCACACATGATGAATACGCATTTACAATGTACAAACATAAAATATGATGCCACAAACCATGGGAACGGGAGAACCCCCTCGGTACAGCATTAACCATCCGCCTTTTGTACAAATGACTCGCTCGCATTAAACGTGCCCTTTTTGTCCGAAGGTGGGAGATACATGAACTATAATCTGTGGTAACAAAGTTAATTATGCATGAACTAAATCCATTAGGACGACATGGAATCCTGCTCCGTGACATATACAACGCAATGCACATATGGACTATGGTATGCATATGCAAAATAGTCTAGAACACACCTTACAAAATAAAGAAACGCATTTAAAAGATACTAAGCTTACCATGTGGAATATATTCAACAGTACGTCGCAAGCGCGCATTCAAGATCTCCCGTCGTCGTTGTCGATAGGATTGAGCTATCAAGCGATCAATATGCTCAACTTGTGATTGAAGGGTGAGTATTTCTGCAATTGAAATATACAAATCAAATTATCCTGATTTTGTGCCAAAGTAAACTTTAATTTAATGTACCAACAAATGAATCGCGGAACTACGTTGATTAAGACGATCCCTTTCAGCAGGGGTTTGTTGATTGGAAGGAGGTTTTGGCGGGTTGAATATAGCTCGCATGAACCCTGCAAAATACGACAGAATTAAGGCAGCGGGTATATGTTGTGTCCATTTTGAATACGTACACTAACAGTGAAACATGGAAAAAACCAAAGAAATCAAATTACATTTGCCCTTTGAATTCCGACGGTTGGGAGCACTGGTTTGCACTGAAGAGCTTCCACCAGGTTGTTGATTTCCGGACATTATCTTGATTGCAATCACACTTAAGCATGAACCAGCAAGCTCTAATTGATCAAAAATAAAGGTTTACTTAGCGGTTTGTTGATTGGAAGGAGGTTTTGGCGGGTTGAATATAGCTCGCATGAACCCTGCAAAATACGCCAGGAGGAGTTGGGGAATTCAATTGGAGGAGTAGCAACTCCCACCGCCCACGCGTCCCTCACAATTGCATATGTAGTATTGAAGTGCAGGGCTTGAGACCGAAATCGATATGGAGAAAGAAATTAACACGGCATGGACTGCCACGGCAGCTGAATATGGGTTCCGAGAGATTTCGATGGAAGCATTTCACCAGCAGTCTTTGGGACGACTACGTCAAGGGGGAAGAGTTTGGGCCGGATACTTCAGGGGGCAACAGCCCGGTCCGACTATATAATAAACTGGCCCGGTCCACCGGCAGAATGTGTTGGAGGTGAAACGCACAGTTTTATTTAAATGTGAATTGCCTAAAGTGCCCTTCCGACAAACCCTCTGCGGGCTGGAAATTTGAATCCCTGCAAACTAAACACTTGTTTTGGCTTCATATATCTTATAGATGTGGTTGTGAATGAAGGAGGGACGAGATTCACAAAACTAAGGTTGAGACTTGGATGTCGTTGTGGGAATTGGGAGAGTGGTCGAATGGGTTGTTAACACGTATTGACAAGTCGGTTGGGTCCACGGTTTGGTCCAGTAAACCGCGGTCTAGACCAGACCAAGAGATCAAAATAGAGGTGGCAATTAGGATCCAAATCCATGAATCCAATCCATCCACCAAATTATCCACCTAATCCAATCCATTTAAATCCAATCCATTTGATCCAAATCCAATTGATTCAGTTTGGTCCACGATTTTTCTAACGATCTGGTCTATTTTCCCAGCCCTACCAGCAATGCATCGTCATACTAACTTAGACCCATTATTGTTGAACACCATTTATGAGTTTTGTAAGTAGTTATCGATCATATATAGAACTCAATTCGGCTATTTAACTATCCAACGAATTATATATGATTTTATATATGTCACCTTCATTCCAGCTATAATTTGTAGGGTGACATATTCCAAGAGTCCCGCTAAATTACAACGCCCCCATCATTGGAACAATCGACAACCGGTTGTTCGTCTTGTTTCATAATCCGACCTTGGAAAATCAGAATGACTTTTTCCTGAGGATCTTGAAGTGCTACCAGTACTTTACTCTCATTCGGTCAAGTTTTGTAATGATCACCCGTTCTTCTGCTTAAATTGGAGTATATGGTATAAGATCCACAATAACTTGAATTATTGAGACCCTATTGATTTTCGATATGACATCAGAGCTTTTTTGTAATCAAGAGGTCTTATGTTCGAATTTCGACAACCTTCACTTGTTAAACATATGGTATTCGAACATGTGCAAACTTCAAGTTCTCCTGTAATGAGCATCACTTCTTCTGCTTAACTATATTCGTCGGAAGTTAGAACCAAAATCATGATATGTTAGTATGTGGTATAAGAAGATCATGGTTCTCGAAGTTTTCTGTGATCAAAAGTTCTTATGTTCGAATCCCGACGACTTTCATTTATTTAGGCCCGTGGTATTTGAACCTGTGCAAACTTAAAGGCTAAAGCCCATATGAGTTGGCTTTCGTACGAAGGTGCATGTTAGTATATTAAATAAGATCCCTAATTTTTGGGATCAACGAGTTGTTGATGTATCCTCAGTTTGGTTAATGTGGTAGGTAGTGGACAAGTGTTAGATGGGGTTGATGATGATGTCTACATCAGCAGGCAGAAAATTATTGTTGCTAATTCTAGTACCAAATCTGAAAGAGGAAGTTAAGACGAGGCAAAAAGGGGGTTTGGGAAGCCTTTGAGCAATACATGCATATTTGAGGTAGAGCATGTCATGTGGGATGTTGTTTTTTCTTGTTCCTTTTCAGTAGAGACCTTCACATTATGAGGGTATTGAATTTTGTGACAAGTTGGACAAGTGGGTTTTAGTGATCTTAATGACCAATGTAGTAACATTCTTGCTGGTGGGAGGAAATAGATTGGAATCTCGTTTGGAGAGTTTGTTTTAATGTCATTCAAGTTTAAGCGGGATCCAAATTGTATAAGTTGGTGGTTATAAGCGGCTTATTGAAATAACGAAGAAGAAAGGGTTTCAATGACTAATCATGTACTTTTCCTCATATCGTCACGAGCATAGGCGGAGCTAGGCCAAATTATGTGAGTTACATTTTTGTGTAAAAATTTATTCAACTTTCAAGTATATCTATATAGGAGATCAAACTCAACACTTATAAATTCAAATAAAAGCATTTTTTTATGAATTAATAAAAGCATCTTACCATAATACCATTATATTGCAGCTCATTTCTTGTAATTATATTATCATAATTAATGGGCTTTAACCCATTTATGCCCAGTTCAAAATTGTTCAATCCTGGCTAGGGCCTGAACTCTGACAAGAAGCCCAGATATGCTGGCCGATCAACTGCCATTTCCATCCGGGCCCAAATTTCGGTTCAATTCATTTTTTGAGCTTTGAAACTGGATGTGTGAAGGGACAAAATGTTGATGTCTGGAAAAAATCAAACTCGTTCCACTGGCTGCTAGAAGAGGAAGAGCTGCGGACAACCGCCACCGTTACCGGCGGGAGGATTCCGGTGAACCCGTGCGGCATCCACAGTTCGGCCCGAGACATTCCGGTACGATGACGGTGGACGACGAAAACTCTATATACGTTGGTGGGCTTCCTTACAGCGCCACGGAAGACACCCTTCGCAGAGTCTTCAGTTTCTACGGCGCCATCGTCGCCGTCAAGGTTTTCCCCACAATCTTCTGCTACTCGTTCCTATTTTTATCCATTGAATTCGTCTCCCCATTATGATTTCATGAATTTTAGCTCCCATTGTTAAGATATGAAAGGATTTTATCAGGGAGACGGATAAGCTGTGTCTCAAGTTAAGTTGTAAAGCAAATAAGCAAGTGTTCGCTGCTGCTAAGGCTTAACTGACTGTCTTTGCTGGTAGACTAGTTAGGTTGGGTGTTTTTTGGTGGAGCGGTTTTTCTCATCACTGACATTTTCTATCGTCTTGATGAGTTGAGAGTGGTGTACTAAATTGAGATTTGGATTGTTTACTTTCTTACAGATTATTAATAACCGTGCGACAAGAGGAAAGTGCTATGGCTTTGTTACTTTCAGAAATCCCAGATCAGTGATTGATGCAATTGATGATATGAATGGCAAGGTATCGGCTTTCTTCCTGTTTTTTTAGCAACACATTGCCTTGATCCTGTTTAGCTTGGGTTGAAGTTTTTTTTCCCGATATTCGGGATTGTGGAGTAGGCTATTGATGGAAGACCTGTGAGAGTGAACGGTGTAACAACTAGAGGAAGACCGAATTTCGGTCGTGAACTGTTCCGACATGATGTAGAGAGGAGAATGGATTGGGACAGGAATAGAGATCGAGGAAGGGATTACGATGATGTTGATGATAGGGACAGATATCATGAGCATTACAGTGATAGGTCAAGAGAACTTGATAGGTCCTGGGATGAGGATAGAGAAAGAGAATATGAACATGAACGTATGCATGAGCATGAGCGTGATCATGATCGCACTGGGGATGGATTCATGGATAGAGATCGAGTCCAAGACAGAGTCGAGAACGAACAAGACCTAGGTAGGAATGTTGATTGGAACTGGGAACGAGGTCGTGATTCAGGCTCGGTAGGCAGGGAGGTGGATGGAAGCAATGACGATGATAGAATTGCTGACAAGGATCAGCTCTCAAGGAAGCCAAATGGGTAAGATTTTTAGTCTTAGTTGGTCATTTACTTTTACTCTTGAGAAATGGAAGAAGTGCGGTTATTATGGTCAGTTAGTTTCAAACTCGACGTCTTAGGTTTGGTTCGCGAGTTTCTCTATGGTATTACGTTACAGACCTTCAGTATGCATCCCTTGAAGGAATAATTAGAATAGTGTGCATCTTTAGTGGAAGGTTGCACAATAGACGATTCTTTTTTCCCAGAAAGGAATAGAGGAGACCCAGACTCTTAAATCTTAATGCATGAATCTGATAATAAAAACACAAGTTGGAAGCAGAAAATAAAGAGAGTAGTGGAGCTTTAAATTCTCACCTGAGTTGACAATAGCGACTGAATCTTGAAAAGGGCAATTACATTTTCAAACATATTTGACTATCTTGAAGACATGTTGATTCTCGAAAAGATTGATAGGTTTTTGTCCATCTGATGTATATGCATAATTCTATATGTGGCTGGCAGTATTTCTCCACATCATGCGCATTGATTCTGAATTTTATTAGGTTGTAATTACCCAGGACTCAAATATCATACTGGCTTGTTTCCAGAAGAGTTTGTATGATAATGTTAATATAGTAGAACAGTTATGCCTAACAAATGCTTTCTATTTCTTATGTGCTGGATGCAATGCTCGTTTGTTGACTATATGTTGATTGAATCTATCTCATGTGAAAATAGTTAAATGATGTTCAGCTCCGTATTTAATGTGCTTTGGCAGTTCAACGTACAACGACAGGTCTACCAGGGTTACATCACTTGAGCTGGGCGATGATTGTGATGATGATGAGGTAAATATGGTCATGCTCAATCTGCGGTCCATTCATACTTTGAAAATAAGCATTTTGGTTTCTAATTCTTATCATTTCCTTTTTATTGAAATTAGGTGAAAGTACAGCTTGACAGATCAATCCAGAGACATGATGATCTGAAGAAGGAGGTTAGTCTCTCACTTAGTAGCAAATCACGATAATTTGTTGAGGCTAGTGGTTGCCTTTCCAGAACTGTATGATTTGTTATAGGGGCGCGGTTGATGTAATTAATATGATTTACTTGGAAGTTATTCTGCCAAATATTATATTAGAATTAAGTAACCACTATTTTTGGAGTCAGTGGCTCTCCTACAACTGTTTAATTAGAAATTGTGTTAACTATTCACCAGGGTAAATTTGTGTATACCAAATTTAAGAGTTATACTGCTGTAACCTTCTTATACCTCTGTCCTAAATTTGACCTTAAAGCATGTAAGAAGCTCTGAAAGAAACTTATGCTGTTGAGTTTGGATGCATCTCTTGTCCCTGGTTCCCATGTCCCTTCTCTTCTATTTACGTTAAAGGGTTTGCTAAAAGAAACTCCCATTCCTTCAGATTTCCCTGATGGAAGGAAGGTTCGAAGACAAACAAAAACTTGTGTCCAGTTTGCAGAGAAAAGCTACGGTACTTCCTCTATCACTAAGCTACTTCTCATCTTTTTCTCCAGCACTTGGAACTAAATGATGATTGCAGAAACTTGAAGATGCATTGGTTGGAGCCAAAAGGCGCACATCCCAGCGGAAGGAACAGTTGGCCAAGGTAACAACCATAGGCTTTCAGCTGACTTTGCGAAATTGCTGGATGATCTTTATTTTTGTTAATACTTAATAGTTATATTCTTTCGTGGTATAATATGCAGCTCCACAAGTGCTACGTGCAAACGAAGGAATATACTGAAAGACTTAAAAGCAGTGAACATGAGCTTCAGGTCAGCTGTATGAAAAACCCTTATGCTCTCTCATCTTTACCAATCGCTCGGTACTAAATCCGTTGGCTCTATAATTGCAGACTCTTGTTGATTCAACTCTGATAGAAAGTGATGTGGGCATGGAAGTTGGGTATTGAGGTAGATTCCGGCTCAAACTACCCTACATCCTTATTGTGATGGAATTGAGAAAGTCCACACTGCTTGATTGCTAATCGGAAGAAAGCTGCTATAGCCCTGCCTTACGGCTATCGAAATCGTTAATACAATTGTTGCTGCTGTGCTTGCGTTTAACTATGCAGTACCGCTTGTTCATACCCTATGTGAGATGTGTAGTTAGTTGAATCTGCTTTGTACTAAGAAGAGATTGCTTGATTTTGTAATGCAAAAAGTGTTCCTCTGTTGCACTTGCACAGTGTGAAATCCCATCTGAAGCTTTGTTCAAAGCAAAGTTGTTTTGGATCAAACTTGAGCAAAAGGGAGGTAAAGTGGTTTTATGAAAGCTTGTGTGTGTGAGAGAAAGAGAATTCAGAGAATAAGCTGGAAAGAAGCCCAACTGCATCAGATGCTTTCGGCTCCCTTCTCCTCTCCTATCTTCTTTTCCTGAACCTTGTGTCCTTCAATCTGGTTGGAAGGAGGGCACAATGGGAAGATAAAAAGAAAAACAAACCCACCTGCTTAGCTTTACAGATATGGTCATCTTCCTGACCATAACCATATCTGTTGTACATCTTGCACTGCAATTGGAAAAGCCTGCAACTTCCATTTCCATACTAAAACTAAAACCTCCCTCTTTTTCTCTCTTTGCCAAGGACAAAAGGTTCCCTGCTGAGTCCTCCTGACCCTGTTGTTGCAGAATGTACAAGACAAGGGGCATATATGTCCATCAAGGCATTAAAAGTTTTGGGACAGAAATTTGCCAGAATGATGCCAGGAACTGGAAATAGTGGGTACAGCCTGCAAATATCAGACCACCAGTTCCAGAACCCTTCTCTCCAAATAGGCACCTCTGAAATTTGCAAAAGGATACAAAAACAAGCCCCCACTTTTCTTCTCCTTTTTTATGGAATCAAACTACTATCGTAACGAGTCGATGGTTGTTGGATCGTGCGTATCGTATCACGATCCATCAGCGTTAATGTGCCAGGACATTTCTAAGCCAATGTACATTACTCGTTAAGGCTGTAGCTAGATTCCTTTGACGAAAAGCTTACATTACAAAGTTACACTACACCGCAATGCAAGAGAGAACAAGATGAAGAGGATCGATTCACACTAAAAATATTAATGGGTGGCCGAATGTGAAACAATAGTAATATTTGGGCATCGAAATGAGAAGTTAGGCGAAGATGAGTTGATCACAAACGAACCTCGAATTTCGTCTAACTGAAAACCCTAAACCCTAAAAATTAAAAAAGGGGAAATTAATTATTTAATGATGTTTTTGGGTTAAAATTTGAGAGTGATTTCACTCCGATTGCATTCCTCCCCATTCTCCCTCAACGCAGCCAATCCTCTCCCGGCGGCGGCCACCGCCGCATTGTCGCCGCTCTCCCCAGCCTTCCAGCTGCTGCTATCCGACTTGCCATCCTCGATGCTCTCCGACCTCTCTCTCCCGGCCGCTCTGTCGTCCGACTCCGGCCCGGAGCTATTCGCCTGGGACGACGTCGTCTTGTACACGTGGACCTGGTGGTGGTGCTGAAGCGCCGCCGCGGCAGCGTGGTGGTGCTGCGGCGGAGGGTGAATAGCAGCATGGATCGGCATTCCGCCGGCGGCAACGTAGTAGTCTTGTGGGACGGAGTTCGGGGCGGCGCAGAAGTGCGGCGGAGGCCCGTGGGCGGTGGCGCCGTATCCGCCGTGCGCGGCGGCGGCGTACTCCGGCGGGACCCATATCCCGCCTAGGACCACGAGCTGGGGCCCAGGCCCACCTGGCGCCTGTGGGCTTGGACTCGGTCGCCTTGTGTGCAACCTATATTTCTGTGACCCAAAATAAAAGAACAAAAAAAAAAAAAACAAAAAAGACAAAGATCATTATGAAGATCTCTTGGGTCCAAACAAACAGACAAAAACAAAATTTTGATTTTTTTCATTTTTTTTCTCCCTCTGCAACAGTTCAGTCCCCTGAGCCTCCCCTTTTGTCAGGTCAGCTGTTTTTGTACTAACAATTTGTCCACATTGTGGTATATCCTTTGAATTACCAGAATTTAATGTCCTATTTCTGTCCAAAATACTGTTAATTTTGTGAAAATGTTGTTAACACATTTAGATTAGGTTACAGGACTTGTTTAATCATATAATTGAAGGCTTCTTTTTGGGCCCAAACAAACATGCTCAAAGTGTAAGCAAAGAATAATCACAGTTAAGAGAGAGAGAATGGTACCTGGAGATGGCTTTTAACTTCATCATTGGTCAAACCGTCAACCTTCATCAGTTCCCTGATTTGCTTTGGAGTGGCCACTACACAACAACAACAACAAAAAAAACATGAATAAATAATCAATCCCCCTATGGCCCTCCATTACAGTTAATTAACTACTCATAACAAGAACTAAAAAAAAAAGATGGGCAATCATTACTACACAATCTATAGCATGAAAATCAATCATCAAAATCAGTAACTAACAGCAAAGTTATCATCTTTCTGTTACATACCTTGAGACCCACCAAGCATTTGAAGCGCATTCACGAATCTCCGGTGCAAATCCGGCGACCAACACCTCCTGGCCTTCCTCTGCCCCTGGCTGCCGCCATTGTTGTTCCCACCATTACCATTGCTCTCCACTGGTCCGTCTGAAGATGACCGATTCCCACCGCCTCTTTTGTTCGTACAAGAAAACCCATGGTGATTAACGCTGTCATTATAAGTATCACTCTTTCCCTGATGGGTATCGTTAATCTCTGCTGAGGAGCCAATCGCTGCAGTCAGAGCCAGAGTTGGAGCAGGACAGGGCGAGTTTAGCCTCTCTTTTGAGAAGGGCAGAAAAGCTCCTCCTCCTCCTCCTCTTTCTCCTCCACCACAATCCCTCTGCTTTGTTGCTTCTTCCAGTGCGAATTTGGGGCTAACGTTGAACCCCATCATTGTTTGGTCTTTTGGTGGAGGCAGAGGTGACAAAGCTGCAGGTAGTTGAGGCTTGGTCTCCTGGCTCCATAGCTGAGCTGTCGTCATCCAATTCGCCTTGTTCTCCGTGTTAATCTCCACGGAAGCCGCCGATTCGGATGGAGGTAAAGCTGAGTTCTTTAAGGGTATGAATTCTTCGAGCACAACTGTTGTCTGCTGGTGTTGGGTTCCTCTGTATTCTTGTAGCTGCTGCCTGGAGCTCTCCATAGCTGATGAGGTGAAGAAATAACGTCAAAGATGGAAACTTTACATCGAAATCGACGTCGAGCAACAAAATGGGATTGTGGGTTTTCGATTTTACTGTACCATTGGTGAGGAGCTGCATGCAGAGAGGGAGCTCCCTCTTGAAAGCGTCGATCTTTAGCCTCTCTGCCTCGAGCCGGGACAGGAACTCTTCCAGCTGCTGCTTTTGCGGCTGCTGCTGATTATCGTGATGATGAGTACTGGAAGGAGTAATGATTTGGTCGGAGAAGCATTTCAAAAGCAAAGAGTGGGTGTGGGGCTTGCAATTGTCCAAGCTTAGTTCAGAAGGAGATGCCATTTGATTGATTATATTGCTACAAATTTTTAGGACAAGAAAGTAATGATGAAGCAGTCTCTCTCAGATCATGCTAAAGAACAAGAGAGAGAGAGAGAGAGAGAGGGGGGGGGGGGGGGGGGTTGAAGCTATAGGGGGAAACGGGCAAAGAGAACAAAGATTTGGTTTTGGCCTTGTTAGGGCAGAGGAGGAGGATATGGGGGTTCAAGAAGGGAATAAAGTAGCTATGTAGGAATTTATAGAAGAGGGAAAGAAAAGGAAATGAAAGGAGGGAGAGAAGTTAAAGGTGGTGAGTGTAAGAGATAGAGCACAAGGGAGAGAGAGGGGATAAAGATGGATGGTAACTTCTTGCAGAAAAAGAAAAGGAGGGCAAAAAGCCAAAAACTGGAATTGCTAGAGAGAGAATGGAAGGGGGTAAGTAAGGTGACTCTATTCTCTCTGAAACAAGGAATCAGAGGAAAGAAAGAGGCTGGCTGGCTGGCTTCTGGTCTGACAGTGTAAGATGGGGTGGTTCATGTGCTCTGTCTCCTTTTGTTTTGGTGTATATTAAAATGTTGTAAGATAGGTATAAAGAGAGAGTATATCTCATTGTACAAATATTCAAACTTATTCACCAAAATACTCAAAGGAAAAGAAGATGATTCTTCTTCCTTTTCTTATCATCTTCTTTACATACATTTACAGGGTTGTGTTTTTTTTTTTACAGTCTTAGGAATTGTTTGTTGATCATAGGGTTAAAAGAACTATGGTTTTTGGTGTAAATATGAACTTGGTAGTGCATTGGATTCCCTAGCCTACGTTTGCATGGCATGGCTTTCAAACCCCACGTGACATTCTTTCAAACTCTCTCACACAAACAAAGACCATTCAAAAGGTCCCAAGTAATGGCTTTCTATCCCTTCAATGTGTGGGATCGTGTAGAATAATGCTAAGATAGCATTAGCATTGTGGGCTTCTTTGAGTTTTTGGGGGCACTTTGGTGACCACCTAAACAAAGTAATGAACCCAACATGAGCAAAGGGGGAACATCTCCGGGTTTCTCTTTTATAGTTAGGGGTGTGATCATATATGTTATATGTATGGATAAACAGATTGTTTTCCTGAATTTATATGATATTCATGAAGTTATTGTAAATCTGAACCCATACCATCACGAGAAAAAATGGATAAAAGAACTCGAATTCCAAACTTCCAATGCATGACTTGGATTCTTTGGGTTGTGAATTTAGGCATATATGTTGGAAAGTCATGAATATGCGTTGAACCCACAAATGACAATGTATATGGAGCAATCGAGTAATTTGATCTAATTGCCGTGATCCGTATGAGTATCAAATCAGACCCAAATGGACTCATATGCACTTTTAATGATTTTGAATATGTATTTGGTCTAATTCGGGTCGAAGCCAGATGAGTCTAATTGAATGCAGACTGTACGAACAAAAAGATAACATCAACCATCTCAGTCTCACTAAACATCTTCAACCCAATTCGCACAATTAATGTTTCTGTTTCTATGTTTCTATTTGTTAAGTACGCAAAATATGGATTTGTCTACCCATAGGCGGAGGCAGGGGTGTTTGCCCCTGTCTCGGGACAGGGGTAACTTTTGGGGAATGAAAAAAATAACCCCACATATATTTGTACAAATCGAATTAAACATTTACAAGTAACATAAGGATGTATTAATATTACACCATAACTTATTACTTGTTCATTAATTACAAAAAATAATTAAATTATTGGTTTCATTCATGACACTATCATTTGACAACAACTTGTTAGGTATTATCACGATATTATGGTGTAAACAATGAATGTATTTTACATTTCTTTCATAATATGAAAACTCGTCTTGGTTATTTATGAAATAATTGTATTAGTCAGTTTTTTGTTTCTTCTTATGAATGAATTAATTAGGTATTATGAGTTTTAATTATAATTGTAAAATATTATATACATTTTAATAAAGGACATGAGTAGTTTGAAATCCTGCCTCCGCCACTGTGTCTACCACAATGTTTTCGAAACTGTACGGGTCTGTCCGATATCGAACCAAAGAGTTAGGCAGTTTTAGCAGTACGAAACAATTGAACGA